ATACAATAATGGTTTGCTGTCATGAATTGTGTCAGAGTTGCAGTACTTGGACAAATAAATTAAATTTATTGTTATTCTACCTCAAGCAGAATATAGAGAATTATGGAAATTTCTCTAGATTATTAATGATAGTCTAACAATAATAAAGAGCAACTATTTGTTTATGCTTCTAATTTTCATTTTTTTCTTGGTTCATTATAAGTTAGAGTTAATGTTTGTTTATTGTTTATTATCTTTTGTTGTTCTTGATAAATTTTATAAGTAATTTTTTCTTGATTTAGATATTGCTGAAGCATTTGAATATCATTGATTTTGAAAATATAAGGAACAATTTTTTCTCCTTGAGCTTTCTTTAGGATGCTTCTAATAGTGTTGTAATTCTTTGATTTCATAGTAAATTTGATGTAAATTAGTTTCATATTAATATTTTTTATATAGAGATAATTCTATTACTATATTAATCATGTTATAGTTTATATTCATCACATTCTGATATGATAAAGTGAGCATTAAAATTAACAAGTCCATAAGTTATGAATGAACATCATTATTACTTTTCAAACATCATCAGTCATACTGGTCAATTTTCTACAGAATCAGTCTCTTATTTATATCACATAATAAAATGTTCACTTTGTCTGATTTTATTGTAGTTTGTCCTATATAAAGACATTAAAAATTACATTAAAGCTTGTGATATCTGTTAAAGAAAAGAAAGATTAAGAAAGAATAATTTATTACATTTAATTAAAACAAAAATCACCATTCGAGAAAATTGAAATTGATCTAATAGAATCATTATTACTTATCTTCAATAATAACAGATATATAGTAATTACTATCGACTATGGAACAAAATAGACAGAAGCAAGAGCAATTCCTGATGTCACTTCAAGAACAATAATATCATTCCTATATGAATATATTATTTGTAGACATAAATTTTCAAAAGAATTAATTTCAAATAGAAGAACAACTTTTGTTAATGAATTAATTAGAACATTATATAAAACTTATCAGATTAAACATCATCTTGTAATACTATATCATTTACAAATTAATGAATTAGTTAAACGACTAAATAGAATATTATGTAAATCATTAGCAAAACTTGTACAATTACACAAAAATAAATAAGATTTTTATTTACCTTTAGTACTATTCACTTATAGAACTATTCAACAAAGTACAACCAAGTTTACACTATTTTACTTGACCTATAGAAGACAAGCAATAATATTAATAGATCTAAAATTATAATCAATAGATGATAATGACAAAATAACAACAAATAAAATTATCAAATGAGCTTATATTATAATGAATAAACTAGAAATTGATAGAATATTAGCTCATCAAAATATATAAAAATCTCAACAAAAACAAAAAGAATCATATTAACAAGATAAAAATGCATAAACATTTTTTATCAGAGATAAAATCTTAATGAAGAGAATGAAAATGCAGTATTGACATCATGAAAAATTTTCGCAAAAATGAAAAGAATAATTCTATATCTATGAAAAACTTGACAAAGAAGCATATTAACTAAGAACAATAGGCAGAAAACTTTTGAAAAATCCTTATAATAAAGATTATTTAAAACTATATGATGCATAAAATCTATACTCATCAAAGATTTAGTGTAACTTTGAGCTCTATCTAGTCTTCCAAATTTGGTAATTTTAACAAACTAAACTGTAAAAATGATAGTTTTAATGATGTTTTTTCAGATCCACGATTTACTTTTTTAATTACTCACTTTTTGATGAAGTTATTAAAGTTTAAAAATGATCACTTTTATTAATGAATCTTTATTTTCAGATAACGATCATTATAGATTAGACCAATCAGAAAGTAGATAATATCACGTGAACATGATATATTACGTGCACAATAATCTGTGCTTGGTTCTTATTGATTAAAGTTTAATTAAGGTAAATGCTTCTCCTTTTGGATCCAATGAATAGGCGAATTAAAACAAATATCCAAGATAAAATAAGAGTGAGATGATCTTTGATTTAGTAATGCGAATAATGTGACACCAGATTAAGTGATGAACTGTTAATATTAATTTACCGAACATGACGAACCAGCCAATGCGCTAGAAATCGCATAATAAAATTCTCTAATTTCTTCCTAGGTAAAATCGAATTATTCACAAAAGATTAATATTTAAGAAAAATTTTTTAATTACGTAGGTTTAATAATATAAAAGCATCTTTTTAAGAGATGTAATAATGTAAAAGCATCTTTTTAAGAGATTTAATAATGTAAAAGCATCTTTTAAGAGATTTAATAATGTAAAAGCATCTTTTTTAAAAGATTAGTAAATGTATCAAAATGGGTAACTAAAAATAAATAGATCTAGATAGTAATAATAAATTATTCTGAACTTGAAGCACCTTAAGCTTCTTTCTTTAAATTTGATTCCAAATTTCTTTTGTCTTGTACTGATTCGCGTTTCGCTGATTACTCCAGAATGATTAGCATCGTAATACAACTTTGGTTATATAATATTATTGCGATCGCGTATGCGTAAAGAATTTTCTAATTTATTACAAAAAAATCGATTAAACAATAGAAAATATCTCGCGTTTCAAAAAGAAAAAGACAATATAAAGAACAAAATAGAAATACAAATGGCAAATCAAAGAAAGTAGATCATACGATGACTGATAGTGAATTAGAGGTGAATGAGAAAGAATTGAGTGAAGGAGAATTAAGTGGAGAAGAGTTGAACGGAGGAGAGTTGAACAAAAAAGAATAGGATAATGATGATGATAATGGATGGGATGATCCAGAGGATATGGAATCTGAAATTAAGCTCTATCAAAGACTAAAAGAACTCAAGTTAGTATGGAGAAATGATAATCAATTAGAAAAAACAAAGCGAGAACCATACATGATAGGTAAAACACCAAAATCAACCTATTATGATAAATATGGTCCAAATGGCTCATTAACTAAAGCAGCCGCCGGTTCTAAAAAAATTACGAGTTTTTTTAAGATTAGCGATACCCAAGATACTGATTCACAATCACCTAATCCTGACGCATTAGAAGATACTTCTAGTGATTCGGAAAGTGAGATTATTGATCTGTACGCTCATCAAATAACTGAAAAAATAAAATATTTAAAAGAACATTTAGAAAAAGAACATAGTCAATTAACAGTTATTGAGTACAATCATAAAAGAGCAATATTTGAATATCTTACCTTATTAAACAATAAATAATGGATGTGGAAAAATTGATGTCAGTTTGAAGGCTGCTCGAAAAATTTTTATTGAAGGTAGTGTATGGAAAGCATGAAAAATTCACAATCTTACAAAATACTGGTTGCTTAACAATAAACTTCCAGAGTCTAGACATGGAAAACACCAAAAAACAATCAGAGTAATCAATGATAAAGATGTTGCGGAAAGATGCCATATTTGGATTAGAGAACAAAATTTCAAAGCTACACCAGCTATATTTAAAAAATATGTTGAGAATGAATTATTCCCTAGCATCAGAATTACCAAAGAAAAAACCATCACTTTAATGACAGCAATAAATTGGTTCAAGATTCTTGGTTATTCATTTCAACAATATTATTGTTTCTTTTGAGTAATAATGGATCTTTGCAATACTTTGTCTCAATAGAATTAGTAAGCAAAATTCAAATTAACTAATTCTATTCAAAAGAGGAATATATTATGATAGGCACGAAAGAGATGACATTCTGCAATACCGAAGAGTATTTTTAGAAAAAATATTTGAGCATGAAAAATACATGTTCAAATACGAGGGTGAATCTATGGATCGAATTCATCCCAACTTACCTGAAGGAGAGAAAGAGAGAGTCCTTGTGGTTTATAACGAATGCATTTTCTATTTAAATGATGGTAAACGCGGAGTGTGGACTAGAGATGAAGAGATGTCACTAAGAAAAAAAGGAAATAGAAGATTGATTATAGTTAGCGAATTTCTAACCGAGATTGGTGGATGTCTGCACTTGCGGCAAGCTGATAAAATAAAATATCCCGATGTACCTGAAGAAGCACGATGCTACTTAAAACCTGGTATTAATCAAGACGATTATTGAACAGCAGAGTATCTTCTCGAGCAAATTAAACATAAAGCAATTCCCATCTTCGAGACATTATATTCAGACTGTATAGCCGTATTCGCTTTCGATAATAGTTCCAATCATGCTGCATTTAGCAAAGATGCTTTAATTGCAAACTGAATGAACTTAAATTCAGGTGGCAAGTAACCAATTATGCGGAATACTTTCTTTGGTCCAAATAATCAACTACAATCGATGGTATTTCCAACAACACATCCAAACGAGAAACTTCGAGATATACCTAAGGGAATTAAACAAGTGTTGATGGAACGAGGAAAATGATCATCCGAAGGATTAGCATTAAAATGCGACAAATGCAAAGAAAAGAATCAAGACATTTCAAGAACTTCTTGTTGTGCGCGTCGAGTAATATCCCTGGAACCTGATTTTCTTGCTCAAAAAGGTGCAATTGAAGAGTTAATTGAAAATGCAGGACATAAATGTATTTTCTTTCCGAAGTTTCACTGCGAGTTAAATTTCATTGAGAGATATTGGGATGCTGTCAAAAGACATTCGCGTGAAAATTGTGATTATTCGTGGGTAGGATTACAAAGGACAGTGCCTGAAAGTCTTGAAATGGTATCTCTAATAACTATTAGAAAGTTTTCGAGAAAGTGTTGGCGTTATATGGATCTGTATAGAAAAGGTCTTAGTGGAAAATTAGTAGAATATGCGGTAAAAAAATATAGATCTCACAGGAGAATTCCCGATGGTGTCTTGGAAGAATTAAATAAATTGGATAATGTAATATGACGTATAGAATCATATTAGCCAATAAAATTAAAGCATGTGACTAAAATCACATGAAGATCGTCATTTAAAATTTCGGACTGATCTACATTTTTGATGAGTATAGATTTTATGCACCATACAATATAGAAACCAGATCAATATTGTTTCTTTTTCGAGTTCTTTTTTTTCAAATTCTTTTTCTTCTTTGCAACAGGGTGATTACCAATCATTTTTGTGGCGGGATCGTTAAAGGTTAATTCATTTGGTGGATCTAGGAGAAAGAAACAAATTGTAAGAATTAAGATAAAAAAAGGAATGAACAAAATCTCCACATACAATTCATAAATTCTTCAAATTTAACAACAGTCCAATCGGTCTCTAAACCCCACTTGCTTTGGCCGCCAGTCTTTGTTGCCTCGTTCCAATAATCCCCAAGCATCCATAAAACATAGCACATTGATTCCCATATGAACACACGACCGTAGCAGTCCAGGAAAAGAATTCCAGCATGAAGTTCTCCGATGATAATGATATGATCAAAACCATAATACTCTTTAACATGTTCCATATAACAAATACAACTAAAAAGATCTCCGCCTTGGAGTTTACAGTTAAGAGAATTTGCAACGCGTTTACGATCTGATTTATATGCGATCATTTCGACGATCATGAGTGGAAATTTCTCACTATTGCGACCTTCTCGAGGTTCATCCTGCTCTTCACCCTTCGGCACATGGGACATGGTTTCCGGAATTCTTGCCTCAGTATATTGAACGTTCGGGACCACAACACGACACGGTGTTTTCGGTTCTTCTTTCGTCCATGCATTGCCCGCCAAGACACCGATTCGGCGCAGTTGCCCCAAGGATATTTGCAACGATCGGATTCTCTCCTGGTTTGGGCAACATTCGAATGGCACCATTGTAATATTGGTATAGCTCTCACCCTCGACTGTGCTACTAACTTGTTGATCTTTTGTGACGTATGGACTGACGCCCCGAACATAAATTTTACGATCTTCCCTTCTTTCATTGATGCCGTTACATTGACTGCCGTTGGGCGATGCGAACTTTTCGTATTCATCATTGTTATTTTGTCCGCCAACACAATCGTCATCCTGGAAAGATATTCCTTCTGGTGTTGAAGCTCCATTTCCTTGTAAGACTCCATTCTCATTATGTAGATTGTCCAAAGGAGGGCTATTGCGTCCCATGTGGTTATTATTGGAATTGGCCGACAATGGGGTGGTTCTACTATCTTCCCCTCGACGCCAAATGGAACGTATATTGGGTTCCCCTGTCTTGGATTCCTACATAAAAACGTTTCGCTAGCTATACCTACCATTTCGAAATAGTGCAAGATTAAAAATACCTGAAAGGTTCTATGAACTCTCTTATCAGCTTTCTCGTCCATTTTTCTTGGTTTAAGTTGTCTAGCCAGGAATAAGCGTATAAACTAGAAATAGAAACTGTTAAGTGGTGAACGGCAAAATTTTATTTATTTTTCAGATATTTATATTTTTCGTCCGGTCGTCTAAACATGGAAGTAATAAATAATAGAGTAGCAGGATGTTTCAAGGGAGGAAAGGCATAAAAGAACATGCCTGCTTGTTTAAGCCTGCCGAGCCCTAACCCATATAATGGCAGTTCCTTTCCCGCTACTCACTATTAACTGGTTTGCTATCAATCCAAGCACTTATTTGATCTAATTTACTGCCTTTTAAATCATTAATTCTACGATAATAATTTTTGATTATATCTTTACTACGTTTTCCCGCCCCAAGATTAAGAATACCAACGGCTACAATACCACACATATCATTTAAAGAACACGCTTTTCTGCCATAATTCTATCAAAAATAATTTTAAATTGGTTCCAGATTTCTGAAGTCATACCTGAAAATGATCGTTGGCTCGAATCGGATTGTTCTGCTTCCTCGGTAGACTCAATTATTTCGGGAGAAATGACACTTAGTGCCTGGATAACGGCATAATATCGATTGATTTAATTTTGGAGCATTGAGATAGATCCATTGATTGATTCGAATTCAGTTGCGACTCTACCAAAATTATTATGGTAGATTTGAAGGACTTGTTCGATTTCGTTATATTCCCAGTTATCACGTTAATGATATTCTGTGTCTCCATTGCATAGTTAGCATCACGGGAATTTATTTCGGATTTGTTCAGTGTTGATCTTGGTTTCACGAGAGTTTGTTTCATCGGCATTTTTTCGCTTTACGTCCCACAGGAAGAACCATATGGTGATGAATCCTATACACAAATGGATGTCATCTTCGCAACGACAAAAAATAAAGTAGCCGTTAAAGCCATAAAAGGCATATTCTCCAAAACGATGAATGGGCGCATTTATGCAAAGAAATTCCGATTAGAAATTTAATTGTGAGGACTTGCGGATATTCAGATTTAAGATAAGTGAAACCAAGTTCGATGAGTTTGTTAAATGCCACGTTGGCTTTGCAGAAGGGAAGACAGTAGAAAAATTGCATCTTTTATAGGGCTATGTTTCGATCATCATTTATTTCATGTAAAGTGGAGAAGATACGAGAACGATTTTTTTTAACTTTATAGAAAACGTAATCAGGTATTAGCATTTCTTTATTACTAATAGCATGTATTCTTGTGTAATCGAAAATAATTATGCAAATTATTTCGCAGACTAAGAATGAACGTTAATTCAGTTTAATTAGTGAGAGATTATGTAATGTTGATAAATCGTGGATCGCTTTACTGGTAATCACATTGACCCACGAAGTTTAAAAATAAGATTGGTATTTTTATGAACATTATGTCCGAAATGTTTATTCTTAGTGAAGTTCATTGTCAACAAAAAAACATTTAACGTATTTCTAATCTTTATGTGGCAATAATTAGGTTACACGAAGACATGTGTTGAAAATCGATAGCGGAGCTAGTAAGGTTAATATGCGCTGATTGAACAACAACGATCCGATTTTGTATAAGTTTCACCGGTGTTTAAATCTAATAATAACCTTCATCATCGTCATCAGAAAAACCACAGAAGCTCCCATCATCAGAGAAATTCTTATCATTAACGTCCTCATAAAACACACTTGCCTGTATCTCGGTTGATTTCTCTGGAACCGTTTCTAAATTAGAAAGAGTAGATGTATTACTTACCTCAAATTCCGGTAAAGTTTTCTTGATATCTGAAGATGACGCACTTATCTCAACTTCTAGTAATTCTGAATCTTTATCGTTTTCTTGGGGTGAATCTAAAAGAATCGATTCAATAGGTATACTTACCTCAGTTTCGGATAAAACATCTGAAGAATTATTCTGTTCATCGGTGAATTCTATATCAGGCTTTTTGGCGAAGTGATCTATAATCGTTTGAATTTGAGTATTAGTAAATTTTGAAATTGTATCCGCACTATATGTTTTGATGTATTGAATCTTGTCCATTCCTATTCTTTCAAATAAATTGTCAATTCTTAAAGCTTTCTGTGTCTGCTTACATAAAGTTTTGCGTTTGGTGTCCGGTAGCTGTTTGACAATAAAGTCATATACCTGACCTTTTGCCTTCTTTTCCCCGACTTTATTGTTGACCATAAAATCTTTATACATGCTTTTGAATTTTCTAGCATAGAAACACCAACGTAATGTTTCTTCTTGATTAGCTTTGATAGCACCTACTTCCGCATCACATGCATTTTTATATAGACTAATAATATCTCCATTATCTGGTGACATGGCTAGAATAGACGGGGTTATTGAAGTCTCATTATTTGGGCGAATCAAGTTCGCTGAAATTTCAGTCACGTGCTTTTCTTCCTTGGATAAAATCATTTCTCGGATCAAGCCCTGTTTGTTTTTCCATCCATGAGGCGTAGATGCAGTATCCTGGGAAACCGAGTGTGTCTCCTGGCTAGGTGATTCACATTGAAACTTCTTTTCTCTATTTCTCTCTCTCATTATATTACTAATCCTTTCTTTTTCTAGTAAATCAAAGAAATCGTCTACTTCCTTTTCTTTTAACGATTTAAGCTTTCTGTATATAGTTATAGTCAGAGATGAATTAGTGACTCTCGACTTCGTCTCTTCCTGATGTTTATCAGGATTTGAAGTAATATCAGATATACCAGATGTCAGAATGTCAGTGTCTTTGGTACGAGTCTTTGATCCATCACACCATGAGTTTATTTGAAGTCATAAAGTATTATTAAGACTTTGAATTGTCGTTAAAACATTGGAAGTTTCTCTTTGAATATTCCTTAAATTTTATAAATACCTTTGAGTATTTTGAAAGCTTCATCAAAATGGTAACAATACCTGATAATATTTGCATGATATATTTCATATACATGTTTGATAACATATACCCGATAACATGTCTCGATAATATAACTTAATAATATAATTGATAGCACTCGATAGCATTTGCGTGATATATCTGCCTTTACAAACGATATACAAATTGCAATCGGGTTGTCAAACTCGTGATAAAGCCAACCTGGTAGTATAATCTACCTCAGCTATTTTATTGTAATGGAAAATGATCAGGATTGCTAAGCTGACATACAATATCAAATAACACACATAATAGAAAATACAGAAGGACTAGGCTAGTGCATCATAATCTAAATTGGATATTATATTGCAATGGAAATCGATCAGAAACAATAAACTGATATACGAAATTTTATATAAGTGATTGAAATATTATTGATATCGAATTTGACTTTCTAAAAGCTGTATATTTATTTATGTGTTATAAAATATATATTACAATACGGATGATGGTGTCATATTTCTGTCATCAAAAATGTGTCATAAAATATATATCATGACACTGACGATGATGTCATATTTCCATCATTACAACATTGACGACAGTGTCACATTTTTGTTGTCACAACACTGACAACAGTGTCGCATTTCTGTCATCACGACACACACCTTAGTGGGAATAACCTAGACTAAGTGGAAATAACATAATTATGTTATTTCCACTCTACTTATCATTCTTGTTATTGTTGTCATTGTCGTTGAAGGTCTGCTGAAAGACCTTTAATTGTTCTTTCCATTCTTTTTCCTTTTTATAGCTTTCTTGGTCACCTGATCAGGATCTGAAAGATCGGGTGATCTCGTAACTGTTATTCTGGTCGAATTCAGACTGATCTCTGGGATCGCTTCTGGACAAATCACATGTTTTTTGGTCAGAACTGTTAATTTCGGATGGGGATGCTGGGACCGTAGATGATTTTATGGGATAATAACTTTCTAAGTAATTTTCTACAAGTGAGTAGTAATCTTCTACATCTTCATCATTATCTTCTACTTGAGACAAATAAATTGTTTCATCTTCATCTTTATTATTGTCATTATCATCATCATCTTTATAATAATCTTTTAAATAATCTTCTACAAGCGAGTAATAAGTTGAATAATCTTTATCTTCTATATCTTCTTTATTATCATTATTATTTTCTTTATTATTATCATCATTATTATCATCTTCTTTATAATAACTTTCTAAGTAATCTTCTACAAGCAAATAGTAATTTTCATCTTCTTCATCTTCTATATTATTATTTTTATTTTCTACTTAAGATAGATAATTTATTTTATCTTCATTATTGTTATTATTATCATTATCTATTTCATTAATTATTGTCCATTTATTGTGACAGTATAATTGATCAAATAAATATTCATCTTCTTTATCTTCACTTTTCTTTTCTTTTTCACTTTTTTCTTTACTTTTCTTTTTGCTTTCTTCAAACAAATTCAAGTATGAGAAATTTAATAATGATTGCTTATTTTCATTCTCAGAAAATATATCAATTAGTTTCTTTGGTTGTTCTTGTTGTTGACTAGTGACTAATTGATTGACTAGTTATTGAAGAATTTTAGTCTGATCAGTTATTTGATTATTTGTTGATTGTTAATTTGATATATTATTAATAACTGGTATTTGTTTATTGGTATTGAAATTATTGTTGTTGTTATTTAGATTATTGTTATAGCCGGTTAAACAGTCTCTTTTGATATGACCTTGTTGTCCACAAGTATAACATACTATATTTACTGGTTGTTGATACTATCTATTTTGTTGTGGTCTTTGTTGTCAATAAAATTTTCTTTTTGGTTGATTATATTGGCTTTGTTGACTTGAAAGATTGGTTATTATCTGATTAAATTGTTGAATAATGATAGTCAATTGTTGAGCATCTTGTAATTGTATCATATTATTTTAAAGTAATAGGTAAGAGATTTATTAACATAAATATAAATGTATATTAACAATTATTTAAAAGAAAATATAGATGTAATTCATAAAAAAAGGGGGTATTGTTGTATAATGACCTTTCGTCATAATATTTTATTGGATTATAAATATCTCATATCTTATTGGATAAAGATTA